CTACTGCTGAAGGCGGGGAGTTGTGAAGAAGAGTAATAGTGGAGGACTGGGGGACGACCGCCATTACTACCGCCACTGCCACCGCCACCGCCACCGCCACCGCCGCCGCCGCCACCGCCGCCACAACCGCCACAGCCACGACCACGTCAACGACGACCAGCTAGAACTCCTCTTTCTGGTTTGCCGATCATCCACAGTGCCTTGCCATTCGTGTACAGGTTTGGATTAAAGCGCACACGTCCATCCTTAGGATGCAAAACAATCCATGTTAGCAGGTCAAGTAATCTCCCGCCCATTGTGCAGTGGTATATCTTGGTCACCAACTCCTGTGCAAAAGACTGCACATGGAGGCTTCAAGGGATACGTGTTCCTTGGAGCCGCACACCAAAAAACAAAGCCAGTCTGGCTACTTCCTCTCTGGAATCGGTTCAGCCAAATTACGGGAACAGGAATTGAAACAAGTACGGTCCACGCGCATACGGCGACCCATCAGGTCCCACGATTATGGCGATAGCCTGGATGCCACTGAACTTCACATGACTCGGTAGAAAAGTCAAGTGAGCTGGCCTTGTGAGGCTGCACATCATCGAAATGATGAAAAATTCCCTAGGCATGCAGCATCTGTTTGTCATAGGAAGTTGATGTCGTTAAAGCTTGCCCAGGCAGCCTGCGTCTCCAAACCATCTCGATGGAGATCAGCTTGTTCACGCAGAAGGCGCCTTCACCCAGGCAGCGTGTGCAAGTCATTTTCGCTCCACCGTGGAAAAACTAGCGCATACCCTACTACATACTGATCTCAACCAGCTTCCTGTCATCGCCTGGAAGCAACGACAGATAGCTCGCCATTGTACTCACAGCTCAAGTCCGCTGAAAACATGGCGCTGGGGAATGGGTATGTGCTGACTACAGTTGACTGTCGAATCAGATCCTTCGTGATGTTTCCTCTCTACAGCTGCCGCTGTGCTGGAATTTATTGACGGTGTGATGCGCACGCGTTCATAATGTGATTTCAGCAATATTGCAAGGATTGGCTGGTTCTACTTACTCTCTCTGGACACACAAGGCTCAGCCACCGCCAATACCACAAAATCTTGTCGTCGGTATCCTGTTACAAGCACTGAGGTCCAGTACCATCCGCGCACTGCTTCTGATGCCAGCTTCTGATGGAACGAAGCTGGAAGCCAGCCGCCTGCAATGTTCAAAGCATCAAATGTAAGAGGCACGTGCCTTCCACATCGCAGATCGCACCTATATCATCAGTCAGCGGAACAACCTGTGGCTCGAACAACAAGAGCTTGATAGCAATTTGCATCGGATGCCTCCACATGTGCTGGCCACAGGATGTGCACCTCAGTCCAAAATCAAGAACGCGATTTCATTACTGAAAACCAATTCACCTGCACCTTGAGAAGACTGGGAATTGGGCATTGCTTGCTGCCTGTCCTGGCTCAATATGTTCCTCAGGCAAAATTCCAACAGGGATCGCACGCCCATGCTGAGAAAGCCATGCTGCCTGCGGCTTCAAGAGTTCATCAAAGCCTTCGTTAACGTTGCAATGCTGACCTCGCGCGTTTTTAATATAGCCAACTCCACACATGTCTGGAGAACTTGGCTGCCAGCACTTGAAACTTTGGCAGACAACCGCGTGTGGCCTGAGCGTCTCCCAAATCATGCAAGACAAGTCTCAAACATGGATGCTTCGACACAAATGGCACGGAATGAGCCCAAAGCCGGACCAGAATTAGCCAAACGGTCACAACGTTTGCAACCGATGGAAACATCACCCAAAAAAGAGCGGGCTAGTTGCTCAACACCGTCCAGTACAGGCGCCGTTCAGCCCACTGTCGTGGGTTGCAAACTTGAAAATGGTCTGGGCCGTGACGCTTACGACGAGCAATGAGTTTTGCATTGGGAGCCTGTTTGCAAATGTGTTCCTGCTTGAAGAACGTCATCCTGCTAACAGAATCCTGGAGCCCATCACGTCATGGTGCGACATGCATGCACAAAGGCACAACCATCATTGCCATATCATCTACACTACCATGCTTTCCTCACATTTGCATCACGAGGTAAGTAAGCCAGCTCTGAACATCAAGGCCGTGTGAAATCTACCACTGCAGATGCCACTGGTGCCTCGCCTTTGTTGAAAACATGCATGCTAAGAAGACAAGTCACAACGAATCTTTCCAGACCACTGCTCGAGTCGCAACTTAATGCCCTCGTGTTTCACTGCATTAGATAATTTCTGATATAGCACGTTGACATTCATGTTTTGACGATAATTCGGCGCAATGTTTTTGTTGGAAAAGTGTGGTTCGGTTTTTTTTGCAAAGGTGTGGTTCGTTTTTTTTGTCTTCGAAGCTTTAAACGCTGAAAATTACAGGGTTCGCTGGTTTTGGAACTTGTCAAATGTTGTAAATTACACCATTTCCTGGTTTTGGAACGCTTCAAACGCTGCAAATTACAGCATTTGCTGGTTTTGAAAGGTCTCAAACGTCGGAAATACAGCAATTACTGGTCCTGGAACATCTCAAACGCTGCAAGTTAAAGCATTTGTTGGATTTTCAACGCTTCAAACGCTGAAAATTATAGTGTGTGATGGTCTTCGAATATTTCAAATGCTGTAAATGACAACGTCTGCTGGTTTTGGAAAGCTTTAAATGCCATAATTTACAACATATGCTGATTTTGGAACGTCTCAAAGGGTGTAAATCGAAGAAATTAAAGAGTATCCGCTTGCCTTGGAATGCTTTACAAGCTGTAATTGGCAGGTCTTGGAACATGACAAACTCTGCAAATTACAGCGTTTGCTGAACGCTTCAAACACTGTCGATTGCAGATTTTGCTGGTCATGGAATGCTTCAAATGCTGTAAATGACCGCGTTTGCTGGTTTTGGAAAATCTTTCATGCTGTAGTTTACAACATATGCTGGCCTTGTAACCTTAGTTCCCTGGGAAAAGCGTGGGCATTCGGAATTGGAGGTACAAATAAGGCCTAAGTGCGTGCTTGATGTTTCCAGCTTTTTTGTTGGTTGATACGGAAGGATGGAATTGAAAAGGAATCACCATATCATTGAAAATTTTATAGGAGCCAATTTTAAAATTCATTCCCTCCGTACAGTACGAACCTGGTGCAACACATCTTGAGGGAGGGGGAATCCGCGGTTCCCACACAATCTCCACCAATTGGTTTTATCCCGTCATTTCGAACTTTGCTTTCAAAGTCAGAATACTATTTATCTCATCACGAACTGTATGTTTATAAAATCTTCATTGAAGGAATATCTTTATATCAAATCATCATGTTGAGCATGTTGATTTTTGTATTTTGGATTTTGTATTTTAGTTGCGTCTGAATTTTCAGCCGGCAAAGTTGATTGACGAATCATGTTGCGCCTGATCAGTTTTGTGGCCAGCTGTAACAGAGCAAAATTTTTGGTGCATACATGTCAGCAGACAAGCATTGACATCGACCAGCTGTGCTCGGCACACACCAAAATTTTTCGCCCGCCCACATTCCCCCATGCGATATGAAAGAACCGGTGTGTTTATTGAGTGGGGGGGTGTAACCGGGCCGTGTGCCAACTCGTGCATTCAACATGCCAGTTGGGTGCAACCTTTCTTGAACTTGTGCGTTCACCCGCGTGACGAACCTGTGTGTTCGAATGCGCATGTGCCCTGATGGACCTCAACTGGCCTATGGCCCTTTTGTTAGGAACAAGAGTGACATCGCGCTCCTAGCTGCGGGTAGGACCATTTTTGAAAACCCAAAAATGGCTTTCCAAAACTGATATGGTTTTTGAACATGAACCCAACCTAGCCCAACCAGCCAGCTCCCCCCCCCCTGCCCTTCAAGATAAAAGTATCACCTGCGGTGCGCAACGTAGCTCCTGCACCTTCAGCAGGGTCGCGAATGGCATTGACGGTGATGTTGCCACACCACCCATCTACAGCCCACATCGTGCTGACGGCCAGCACCATGCTTGCAAGTGCCATGACCAAAGAAAAAGAATTGTCGAACTCATCCTGCAGGCTGGCAGGGCCTGAACGACTACTGTGACTACTGGGGCACCTGAGCGTCTAACCCTCGAACACTTGAATTTGAACGCATTGGCCAGCTCCAGCACGTCTGGCTCAAGCAGGTCCGGGCCTAAGCTTTAATGTTTGAATTTGTATGTGTTGGTCAACTCCGGCGCATCTGGCTCGAGATGTAGTTTCGTTACATCTTTCCTGGCACGTGTCCCCTAGGAGCTGCCTTCACCCCTGCTGTACGGGACATGATCACGAGAAAAAACAGCCTGGCTTTGTTTGATTGCCAGCTGGTGGAAGTAGGAGGCAAACGCATCCTCGCAAACGGGGGGTCTCAACAAGGCACGTCTTGGGAGGGGGCTGCCACGTAGCCTTAGCTCCCAGTGGCTCCCATTGTATTATACGGCAGATATTTGGAGCGTCTAGCGAAACCTCACAAGGCATGGCAAAACGCCGGGCGCTCAGGACCACAAGTGAACTAGACACCGATTCTCCCGAAAGCAATCAGTTCCACGTGCGCAAGGGACGCGTATGTGGCAGTGTTCTAGTTCTAGGTGCCGCGGTCGCAGTGCGGTGTAGTTGCTGCGGCGCACGTGCGCGGTGTAAGTGTGTCGGTGTGTTGTGCGCGATGTTTGTGTGTGTGTGTGTGGCGCAAGTGTCTTCGTGTGTGCGTGTGTGGCGCAGGTGCTGTGGTGTGTTTAGAATTAGCATTTGAGGGCTAGGATAGTGTCGACGACTCACGAGAATGATCCTTAATGGTTTGTGAACAGTTTGCGTGCCAAGTAGACCGTAGCCAGGTGTATGTGAGCGTTGCGCACGCTGCGGCGCGCGCAGCCCCCGAATTGCAATGGCACGGCGTGTGCGGTGGTTTAGCAACCCCCGAATCCCAGTACCGCGGTATCTGCGATCCTTTTGCTGCCCTCGAATTCCAGCACCACGGTATTTGCCATGGTTCAGCCGCCGAATTCCAGTACCACGGTATTTGCGATGGTTTTGCAGCCGCCCGAATTCCAGTACCACGGTATTTGCGACAGTTTTGCGACCGCCGAATTCCAGTACCAAGGTATTTGCGGTGAATTCCAGCACCACGGTATTTGCGGTGGTTTTGCAGCCGCGGAATTCCAATACCATGGTATTTGCGGAGGGTTTGCAACCGCCGAATTCCCCGAATTCCAGTACCATGGTATTTGCGGTGGTTTCGCAACCCCGGAATTCCAGGACCATGGTATTTGCGGTGGTTTCGCAACCCCCGAATGCAAGCACCACGGCATTTGCGGTGGTTTCGCAGGCGCCGGCGCCGATTTCCAGTACCACGATATTCCAGTACCACGGTATTTGCGACAGTTTTGCAACCGCCGAATTCCAGTACCACGGTACTCCAGTACCACGGTATTTGCGACAGTTTTGCAACCGCCGAATTCCAGTACCACGGTATTAATTTGCGATGGTTTTGCAGCCGCGGAATTCCAGTACCACGGTATTTGCGGTGGTTTCGCAACCCCCGAATTCCAGTACCACGGTATTTGCGGTGGTTTCGCAACCCCCGAATTCCAGTACCATGGTATTTGCGGTGGTTTCGCAAGCGCCGAATTCCAGTACCACGGTACTCCAGTACCACGGTATTTGCGACAGTCTTGCAACCGCCGAATTCCAGTACCATGGTATTTGCGGAGGTTTTGCAACCGCCGAA